CTCTACTTGACTGCTCTTCCACAAAAATAAGTAAATAAATTCTAATAAGGATAACTATAAGGAAATGAAACAGCACACCCTATGTCAACCGTTTGCATCACTTATTTTGTTATAAAATAAAGCATGCCAAATAAAACATATAGTGAGATCATATTATAAATATTGAGAAATATGCAGCTCAAAAACTTACAAACATGCATAGAAAAATAGAAACATGTTAAGTAAGTCCCTGATTATTTCCTATAATATGAAAGTATTGTGATCGTTTTTATTCTTTTTAAACATTAGGCTAATATCTCACATGTAGCCTGTGTACCTTTTAAATATGAATATTATCTTATTTAGTTTTTTTTTTTATTTGAAAGTTTAGTGGTGCATGAAGTATAAATTGTTTAATTGATCCTCCAGACTGGAAGCARTCAAAGCTCAGAGCTGTCACGCGGCTGTAGCATGGGGGGGAAGCCTGTGGGCGGAGACTCTGACCTATTTCTAGCCAATCGGAAGCCTGGACTGGCAGCGAGTGACCCAGATTCAGCCAATCGCGGCGCGGCTCGGTCGCCGGCAGGCAACAATCGGCGCGTGCGAGGTGCACGTGATTCTTTGGTAGCAAACATTCGGTGGTTTTTATGGGATTTAATGCGATTTAAACACTTTTTATACTTTTTTTTTTAAAATTTACACCTGACTGTTGATGTTTTATTAAAAATATAGATTATGTTCCATTAAAAAAAAGCATTTATCAGTTGATTGCAAATTATTTTAGACTTTATTTATCATAAAGCAGTGAGTCACATGAGCTTCCTGTTCCGGTTTGTAGCTAAACATCCGTCGAGGACACCGAGGAGGGTAAATAAAAGCAGGCACCCGCACAACTTGTGGCTGTGCATTTCGATAAATTTACAGGTTTTTACCTCTGTTTACATGACAGCGTGAGAAAACGGGAGAGGGGCGGTCCTGATCCAGGAAAATGATCCGCTCCGAGGGACGTGATTGGGTGGAAACACAACCAGAAGCAGATTCCTATTGGCTCAAATTGAGAGGCGGAGTCATGTTTTAATATTAATGACGCTGCGTTCAAGGGTAGCTTTGGAAATTAAAATAAAACTYACGCAAATCTTCTTTTTTCCAGTAGTTAGCGCCGCCTTTGCGTGACTCCTCAACGCCGGTGAGTGGGTTCGGAGTCAGCCCACTCTCATCAAAACACGCTTTAGCTTTTTAACAGAATGAGAGGCAATATTTCCCACGCAACCCGCGTGCCGTGAACGCACACCACCGAGCGTGAGTGTGAAAGTGGGCGTGTCCAATCCATGCAAACGATCCCCCCCACGAGCGCCTTTCCCCCGTGAGCGGTGACGTGACGCGAGCGGCCCGTGTTGGTTCCAGCTGACAGGCAGAGAGGGAACGACTGGGGGGTGAAATGAGCGTGTGTGTGCGTGCGTGCGCGCGGCTGTGCGTGACGGTAGGAAAGGGAGGGAGCGCGAGAGAGGGAGGAAAATAAGAGCCATCATCTACTGGATTTTATTTTATTTTTTTAAGGGGGGGTTTCTTTATTTCTTCCATCTGATTTTATTTCGCTCTTTATGCACAGGTTTGTTTTGGAGACATTTTTTTTTCTCCCCTCCGTCCTGGAGATTTTCCCACCGCCGGGTTCCGGTTCTGTTCTGCTTCTGATCATCTGTCCCTCCTCTCTGCACCGATCACCGCTTTTATTTTTGCATTTTTTTTAAATTTATTTATTTTCCAAACTGTCATCATTTGTTTTGTCGCCGCCTGCAGAGGGGGGGTGGACTTCTCGATCCACCGAGCACCGGACCGTACCCAGCACCAAAGGACTTGGATCGGTTCTGATGTCCTCATCTGTCCGTTTAAATAGTTCGGAGAGAAAAGCGGCGGCTGCAGCCCGGGAAGGCTCGGGCTGCCTGAGAAGATGAATTAAAGCCCACCATGCAGCCAGTTTGGAGATAAAACCCGTTTTTTATTTTATTTCCATCTGTTTTTATTTGTTTTGCACCTTTTTATGCATGGGACGCGCGGAACGCAGGGTTCCAGGTGGAGATCTCGTGCGCACACACGCCTCACCTGTCCGCGCACCTTTGGACGGCGCGCCCGTCACTTGTCACTGAGTGGATTGTTTTGATCTCGAGCGCATCCCGCTTCAGGTGTTTCCCCCCCACCCACCCTCACCCATTACCCCCCTCCTCCTCTTACTCCCCACTGGAAGGTATGTCCAGGCCTCTCACCCAGCTCCTGCCGCCGGATATCCCCGCGGGGGCCGCGAGCCCGCAGTTTGGGGCCAGCAGCCCGGCTGGAAGCGTCCCTCAGGGTGGACACCTGACCTCCATGACCAACCTGAAGACCCTGCTCCAGGTGCCAATCAAGGCCGACCAGAGGACCAAGGACTGCTGCGAGATGAAGGGTGAGTGCGCGCACGTGCTCATGTGTGCGCGTGTTTGTGTGTGTGTGTGTGTGTGTATGTGT